AAACTATTCAGTCTCGTTCAAACAAACATACACTTTCAAACAAATTTTCACATTTATGAGAATATAGTTAACTAAATTAAGAGTTTTAACTCTTAATATGCCTAGTTATTACTTACTGTGTATTGGCGTTGTATGAATATCCACTACCTCATATCATTGGTTTCGTATAAGGGAAATAAAACAGGAGATGGACAGCAGCATCTTCTTAAACACGACTAAAAATAAAAAAACTGCGGTTGCCAACCCGCTTGCTAAGCGTGGCAACTATAGCAAATATTCCCCTATGATACAATCAATAGGGGAGGCCTTTGTTCAACAGTGGACTCTAATATATGGTATTTCTAGTTATAGGTAAGTAGTTTGCGTAATATTTAGTAAGTAAGAGTTATAGTATTAATACCAAGAAGTAGATATATTCATAGGAAGTAGTAAGTTTGAACTCGTAGTTATAAGTAGTTGAAGAGTAAGTTGTAATATATGAGTTCACTATTCTAAATTCAAAGTACACGATAGTCACTCGTCTTTTCTTATCTATCTATTTCGTTTTATTATTATTCTTGGATTATATTATTTTACTTACACATTTTGTATATACCCGTTTATATATCTCTTTTTCATACTTTCTTATATAAGTCTTAACTTTGTATATTTACCAACTGTATTATATTTATCTACATTTTGATGTAGGTGCCATAGATATTTATTGCTCATTTTATTTAGTAAATTACTCAAAGTAATTATTAGCACATAAAGAGAGTCCTAAAATAAGAAGAAAGTTCTTATAGCTAAACTCTTTAAATACATATGACGTTTAACATGGTACAAAATAAGATACCTATATTATTCTCACCTTCTTTCTTTTACAAGGTGGTTGCTGTTTCTCCATTCCATAGACACATCTATTGATGTGCCATTAGCGGAACAAAAAACGTTGTCGATAAATTCATTTAGTCTCTAAGATTTTAGTAAAATTAGGGATTTTTATTAGTCCGGTTCGTAACACTTATTTATATCAATGATAGTTTATGGAAGCTGAATCTGACATCTTACGACAAAAACGTAGTCGATAATGCAGAATTTCGTATTATCGTTGTGTAATTTAAAATATATCGTGAAAAGGTCACTATCAAATCTTTTTTTAAATACGATATGGATGACAAACGGGCACACAGTCCACCTGATGTTAAGTAGTTGCTGTCGCCCATAGACATCTACATACATACATCTATCCTCAACTACGGATCAAAATGCAGATGCGTTGTCACCCGTAAAAACTAACATGGAATGCCTCATTTCCAGTAAAAAGTGTCTTCGGTTCTCTACACTCGCCATACGAAACACAGCAGCCTTAAGCTGCTATTTTAGGCTGGTGTTCTGTGAAAGCGTGGTCCTCTCCCGGTCGAGCCGATCCATTCGTGCTAGAACTATACTACTAACATAGCTGCAGCCTGGCTATACCACATACAAATCTACTTAAATTCTTTATTTAATATACCACAAGCCGTAAAAAAAAAAACCTAAATATAGTGATTGTATTATACTCTTTGCTACAAGTCTCAAATATGTATTTAATAATTCATGACCCTTGAAGCGTTACCAAGCGTTACAAATCTGACAATCATTTTTAGAAAATTGACAGTAATAAGGTTTTTATGAGGTGGAAAGTAGGTACTTTACTTATGCTAAGCAGTTAGAATATTACCAAATCTTACGGGTGAATTCATTTAAATACCGGTAACATTATACGATAGAATGAATTTAAACTTTTCCGCAATCCTTTCCCAAGGAATACTTCCGAGAAATGTAACCGTTGAAAACGAAATAAAATATAAGAATAGACACAAATTACAGAATGAATTTTTATTCAGTGCAATTTCTAAAGCTCAGTAACTCCTGACTTTCGCTTCTTCAATACGGTAATTATCGATAAGAGTATTATTGAATTTCTTATTTATATAATAAGCATCCCTCGTTACAATAAATGCAAGTCTTATACGTAAGTCTTGAATTAATATACATAATTAAGAAGTCAAGTACTTCTTGTGTAATAAGATATTAATTTATTTGTTATTGACTTGTTATGTATACAGATAAATAAAATTGAAACAGCTTTTTACTATATGCATATGAAAGTATATACGGTACTTATAACAAAAACACGATTTTAAAATTTTTGTCTGTCTGTCTTTCTGTCTGTCTGTCTGTCTGTTCTGCCTAATCTCCAAAACGGCTGGCTGATGTTATAAGAAGTAACTTAGGCTATTTTTATTTTAGAAAAAGAATTAGGGTTCCGCGCAAAAAATTAAAACCCATGAAATCCAATCGTAATAAATTACGCGCGGGCGGAGTCGCGGTTCTATAGCGAAAAGTATACTCTATAATAAACACGGGTAATAATTCAATAGTTTATTTAGACAGTTATTTATTCAAGAAGTTGCTTTTGAAATGGAACTCTTATTAATGTTGTTGTTGTTTACGTGTGAGTCAATTACTTTTAACCGACTTGAAAAATAGGAGGAGATACTCTTTTCGACTGTATTTTTTTTATGTGTGCTACCTCAGAACTTCTTTCTTGGTGAACCAATTTTGATGATTCATTTTTTATTTAAAAGCTTGGTGCTTCTCATGCGGTCCCATATAAATTTGATCAAGATCTGACCAGTGGTTTTTGAGTTATCCTTAATAATGCGTTTAATTGACTTCAACTACATTGATGATATTCTCATTTTATTTATATTGAAGTCGGTTTTACAAAATTTTTAATTTTATCACTTGTCTTATCCTAAAATTGAGATCTTTATCTAAATAGTTTCGATTAGAAAATATTGGAATAGAAAAGATTTTTTAAAATTAAATATAGATTACTGCATAATATATATTGAAATTTATTTTTACTTATCACTGATTCGGAAAATACCTCCGTCCTAGGAGGAATCTGCAACAAATGAAGCGAGATTTATACATTTGTAATAAAACCATCACAGGAATTACCACAACATTTCTAAAGGTTATTTTATAGAATAAAAGTGAAAAACGAGCACAAACTAGCACCAGATGTTAAGTGGATACTATGGTCCACAGACATCTATATCTATTCTCGATTAAGAATCAAAATACAGATGCGTTACCAATAAAAAGGGTATCCCGGTCTCTGCACTCACCGTACGAAACACAATTCAGTATTATTCTGCTGTATCATGCTGGGATTCTGTCCGAATGTGGTCCTCTCTCGATTGAGTCAAGCCATTCAAGCTGCAAATATGTACTTGTGTAGTTTGCATAGCTATAGCGTAGCTTATCACGTAACCTGTTATTTTATTTCATATATTCCATTATATCCTAATAGCACAGGAACTAACTGAAAAAGATTTAATGCTGTGAACATTAAGTTCAGAACGAAGTTATAAGAGTTTCTTTGCTTAGACCGTGCAAATTTATAACTTAAAGCCGGATTTTTGTAGGCATAAAGTTCTTCTCGCATTTTTAATACTATACACATTTTTAATAATATTTCAATTTATTTGTATTTTTAATTATATAAAAATGTATTTTAAAGGCACTTATGGCAGGCGACTACTAAGGAAGAATTAGACACTATTTCTCTTTTATGATATATATTTCTGGAAGTTCAGAAATATGAGAAGCAGAGTAATATTTTGTGTTGAGAAGTAAATTTAGAAACCTTTCCCTAAATCCTTTTAAAATTATCTGTATTGCATTAGTTTCCGCTAAAATCATAATATAATATATAATATTATATTACTAAATAATGTAAACATAAGAAATGAAAAATAGTCAACAAGCAAAACAAATTTGTGAACCATAATTTATATTGACAAACATATCGATATCGTCAGATGCGGTTATTGCTTGGATTATTCATTCCTCGACATCCATTTGGATCTTTTCTCATTTAAGTCTTTATTTTCGTTATTTTTAATTTCGTCAGTTCTGACATTATACAGGACACGTTCGAAAAAACTGCCTCAGAGCAGTTTCTTTCAATAAAACGTACTCAAAGTACGCGTAATTTCCTATTTTAGATCGACTTAAAATAGGAGATTCTTATTTCTGCCGACTTCCAAAAAGGAGACGGTACTCAATTCAACTGTATTTTTTTTTTTTTTTTTTTTTTGTTACCTCATAACTTTTTACTGGGTGAACCGATTTCGATGATTCTTTTTTATATGAAAGCTAATATATCTCGTGTGGTCCCATATGAATTTGATCAAGGTCAGATCAATAGTTTTTGAGTTATTTTTAATAACTTATATTGAAGTCGGCTGTACAATATTTTTAATTTTAAGTTATTTATATGTATAAATGCAATGTCACTATTTTATTTATACATATAAGAAATTTTTAAGGTACCGTATTTTCAACCAGATCCGGTGATAACTGTTTTAATAGAATCCAATTATGAAACGGCTATTAGCATTTTTTAACACTACTAGATTGAATTTTCTTATTACTTTATTATAAGCTTCACTATCTTTTGATTCGAAGCTAAGATAAGATAAAATGTAAGATGTTATTATTATTTATTTATTCATAATTATTTGGTAATACATTTACAATCATGTATTGCAATTTGAAAATAAATGTCTTCATTATAACTACACAATTAAGGAAATTTTATTTGAATATTATTCAATATGTACTTTTTGGTAAAAAACTTACCGAAATGTTTCATTAAAAAAATCGGTTGTCTGTAAAGTCGGTTTACTGACGATAGTTGAACGCGACAACGTCATAAGAAAATACTGATGGAATGGTTGCATTTTTCAAAAGAAAATTTTAATTTTATTTGTTTGATAGATATTTTGTATGGATATAGAGAAGGAGGTAAATGGAAATCACAATTGAATTGATCAAGTTACATTTATTTGTACGCATAAATACAATTTTTTTTAACAATGTACATAGTTATTACAAGTATGAATGTGCTTTGAGCAATTGTTTAACAACTTTTATTTACAACTTTTAAACATGTGTGATATTTAACTTCTTACAATTTGTGTTATTCTGTTGAGAATAGGACGATGATAGGAAAAGTAGGAAATAAAATGGAGTGTTTCGAGTGTAATGTGTCTTGAAAAAGTCAAATCGATGGTGGTGCCTCTTAGTGTTGTTGACTTATTAACGTCTGATGTACAATCGAGATTGAACCTGTCTTTCATGAATTTGAGAAATGTTTCGTCATTTTTCACGTTTGTGTTGAAGTCGCCACAAAGAAGAATTGGTACATCGGTATCAACTTCAATGATGGCATGTACATACTGGCTGTTATAAACATACGGAAATAGTGCTTTATGCAGCAGAACACTGATGTTAGAGATACTTGCAAGAGATCCAGGATGAATATAAACTGCGCCAAGAGCCATTTTAAACGTGGTATCAGCGGTGAAGCATGTAACTTCTGCCAAGCAAACGTCACCAGTGTTTCTAATAAGGCGCGTTGTATTCGACAGTTCAACGTTGAGACTTTTGGCCGTGGATGTCGATGATAAGTTTCTATAAATTGCCACTCCACCTGCTGCGTTTGTTTCAGAATCTAATCGATTATTCTGCCGGGTTACACATACAAAATTTTAAATTGAAATTGGATCACAATTGTCATGCATCTACGTTTCAGTCAAAATCAAATAATCAGACTTTGAAATCACTGTGTCTTTTTCAATATCTGCAAAGTGAGCAGGCAAACTCTGTGAATTAAGGTTCTTTATAAAAGTTTGTCCTGCATTGTTTGAGTCATTACAGAATTTTACTGCATTATCAGTAATTGTTCGAAGTGTGTGTCCACGAAGTCGAATGTAGTCGTTACGGATATCTCTTGTTGTCTGTGAATCGTTTCCCTCCCGTCCGTCTTTAAAGCGAAATGGAGCATCTTTTTTGGTGATAATATGCAAGCCTTCTATACTTGTTACCTGACTAAGCGCCACGTACACCAACTGTTGCGGTTGCTTTGATAAGTATTTATAAACAATGACAGCAAACGTCCCACCTTGTGACTTGTGAATAGTGATGGCACAAGCAGGAACGCAAGGACACTCTTTTCGTTTGCATTTTATAGTTTTTGTTAGTGTAATGTTTACTATTTTCTTTTGAACTGGTACCCAGTTTGTAGACAAAGTGTTTGGATAGCTTCGCACGTAAGGTCGACATTTAACTTTTGCTCTGGTTCCTGTTGTTTCTTCTGGAAACTCGAACCATAAAGTAGCAATTTCTTCTCTATCTGCTGGCGAAGTTGTACTGGTCGATGGTCCTGCTTCTGCAGAATTGTCATCTACATTTGGCTGCTGACGTTTGATATGTCGCAAGACACCAATAGCTCCATTTACCAACCCATCAGCGACATCTATGTTAGAAGTTATCATGTAGGGATATCCTTCTGCCAATGGCAGCAGGTACGGTAATCCATCGGTTTCTGCCACTGTCATCTTGTGTAGTTTACCCTGGTACTGTCTCTTCTCTTGTTCATTTGAATAACCAAGCATAATATCATGTGAGAGACAGTTGTATGCATCTAGAATTGCGCATTGGTTGTACGAATCCACTTCATTGTTACTATAATACAGCCTGACAGCATCAGGCACGTTTTCCTTGCACCAAGCCTGAGTTTTATGTCTGGTTTCAATAAGGGAGATATTATCGTTGCTTAGTTGAAGTCCATCGCCGATTTTTGTTAGAATCGTTGAAAACCGCTCATCGGTCTGTTGCACAACACGAACCAGTGGGATGTAATTAATGATGTGCCAAAGAATCAGACCTCCTAATTGGTTGATCGGCATAGTATAACATGGAGTTGCTCGTACAGGTGGAAGCTATCTGAAATCTCAACATAATATAACGTGAATGTCTCCGAAATGTTTGTCGTATATGCCGGTAATCTGCTGCAATAATAGTTAATTTGTTGAAGAATAGCTGAATTTAACATGCTGATCTCGTCGATGAAAACAGCTTTGACGCCTACGAACATGTTTCTGTAAGCTTGCAAATTTTCTGTGGATAAGAGTTTCGTCACGCGAGAAGTTGTGAGAAGAAACGCTGAATGAACTGTAGTGCCACCAAGAGGTACAGCGGCTTTACCTGTGCTTGCACAGGCAATGTAGGCGTTGTTCATTCAGTTGTGCTCCTGAGTGTAGCGGTTGTATGTCTCCATGAGGCACTTTAACGTGTAAGTTTTTCCACAGCCTGCAGGACCCGTGAAGGAAATTTGAACTGCTTCAGAAGTGTAATCTCCACAACCATGCAATCGATGTACAACCTCAAGGATGATATGCCGTTGTTCCTGATTAGTTGTTCGTACAAGTTCACAATACTGCTGCTTTGACATTACATTACTGCGTTTCTTTACAATCGAGAATCCTTGTCGTGGGACGATTTGGTGAACACCATCGACGTTTTCGGCACCATCCTCTCCTAACAACTGTTGAACAAAGGTTGTTCTGGATTCTTCTTCCCGCAAATTACTGTTGTTTTCGTTTTGCAAAATCATCATCGCTTCAAGTTCTCTCATGACGTTTTCAATGTTCAAATTAGACTCGAATTGACTACGGCGTTCCATGATTGCGTCATTTTTGTCATCATAATATTTCGTTGCGAAATTGTACGTACAGTAGAACCATTTCTCGTTAGTAATTGACAGTTTCGTCCATGTCGTAATGTCTGTATTGTATGACACGTCCGATTAGTCGCCTGCGGTATTGATTTTGTGCTCTTGACGTTCTTGCTGCGGGTTTACTTTCTAAATCTTCTTCGTTATCCACGTGCACGTCGTCTTCCTCGTCAACGAAATCATTAGCTTTAGCATACCACGATGCAAACTCAGCTAAATACACTTGTTCTAAAGATGCAGGACGCTCTTCATAGCGCTGGACTATGTTTTTGGTCCAGACATCAGTACTGTTTTCGTTAAGGCCTTCGCGGTCCATTTGTTGACGACGTTTGCGGCAACGTTGTCTTTCCGTCGGCCATACTGTTGGAATGTACGCAACTTGACGACTTGTCCTGCTCATTGGTTGACGTAGGAGATACCATGCTGCTTCTTGCGCTGACATCTGGACAGCGTTAAGCAGCTTGATGCTTAAAGCTTTCAACTGGTCTGTGTAGTCCTGTTCGGGATGCTCTTGCATCATCGTAGTAAGCTCACGACGTAGATTGCCCATTTCACGAGTTGATTTATTTACGTACTCCACAATATACTCTGCGAAGCTGTATTCGTCCAAGATAAATTGAATGTCGATGTTTGAGTTAACTTCGCCAGCAATGTACGAACGTGTTTGTTATAAGTTCGTCAAAGTTTCGTCTGAACAGAAGAGTTGTTCTGCGTAACGTTGAGCGCTCAATGTCGAGGTATGAATCGTGTGTCAAAACATTAGCTTCAAGAAAGTTATCCATTTTTTTTTTATAGGAGAGGGGACAAACGAGCATGCGGCTCACCTGATGGTAAATGACTACCGCCGCCCATGAACAACTGCAACACCAGGGGAATCGCAGATGCGTTGCCGGCCTTTTAAAAAGGAGTACGCTCTTTTCTTGAAGGTCCCTAAGTCGTATCGGTCCGGAAAAATCGCTGATGGTAATCGATTCCACAAGGAGGTCGTGCGAGGAAGAAAACATCTTCTAAATCGCACAGTGGTGGACCGCCAATCATCCAGATGGTGTGGATGGTATCGGGAGTTCTGCCGCGATGTGCGTTCGTGAAATTTGGCGGCTGGGATTAATCCGAACAATTCCTCAGAGCACTCCCCATGGTAGATGCGAAAGAAAATGCAAAGGGATGCAACATCTCTTCGCAGTGCCAATGAATTGAGCCGATCGGAAAGGGCTCGGTCGTCGACAATTCGAGCCGCTCTGCGTTGGATGCGGTCAAGTGGAAGGAGCTGGCACTGGGGAGCCCCTGCCCAGAGATGGGAACAGTATTCCATGTGAGGCCGAACTTGCGCCTTGTAAAGTAGCAGGCGGTGTGCCGGCATGAAATACTGTCCCGCTCTGCTGAGCACGCCAAGCTTTTTAGAGGCCAATTTGGCCTTCCCTTCCAAGTGACCACGAAACTGCACGTCACTCGATATGTCGACTCCGAGGATACCGATACTGGCTGAGGCAAGAAGGGGAGTGCCTTGAAACTGAGGAGATACGACAAAGGGGTTCTTTTTAACGGTAAACGCGCAAACTTGTGTCTTCTGAGGATTAAATTGGACTAGATTTAGTCGCCCCCAATCCGAAACTTTGTTCAGCAAAGACTCGACTTCAGACACAAGTTTGTTCCGGTACTCAGCGACGTTTTCCCGAGAAATATTGGCACGGCCGGTGTATAGAGCATCACCAGTGCTGTCATCCGCATAGCAATGAATGTTACCAGTTAGCAACATATCATTGATATGCAGAAGAAACAGCGTTGGTGATAGCACACAGCCTTGTGGAACACCAGCGTTAATAGGCTTGTAGTCAGAGCATGCACCGTCTACAACGACCTTGATGCTCCGATCTGCAAGGAAGCTGGTGATCCAATTGCACAATTTCTCGGGAAGCCCATAGGAAGGGAGCTTCGAAAGAAGCGCTTTGTGCCAAACCCGATCGAAGGCCTTCGCAATGTCCAGACTAACGGCCAACGCCTCCCCCTTGGACTCTACTGCCTCCGCCCATCTATGGGTCAGGTAGACCAGAAGATCACCAGCTGATCGACCCCGACGAAAACCGTATTGGCGGTCACTAATCAGCTGGTGATCCTCAAGGTACCGGATGAGCTGGCAGTTAATAATGGATTCCATTATTTTGGAGAACAAGGAGGTGATCGCGATAGGCCTATAGTTGGGTGGGTCTGAGCGGTCGCCTTTTTTAGGGATCGGGTGGACAAAAGCTGTCTACCATGGATTCGGGACTACGCCTTGGGAGTAGGAGTACCGGAAAAGACGCGTTAGGGCCGGTGCCAACTCCGGAGCACACGTCCTCAGCACAATTGGGGGGATTCCGTCAGGCCCACTCGACTTCTGGATGTCCAGGGAGAGCAGTGCTTTGCGAACCGAGCGCTGTGAGAACAGCACATCCGGCATGGAGCACTCACACCGCAGGATGGTCGGCGGTGTTTTCCCCCCGTCATCAAGAGTCGAGTTGGACGCAAAAAGGGAGCCTAAAAGGTCGGCTTTGTCTTTTGCGTCATGAGCCAGTGAGTCATCCTCCCTGTGCAGAGATGGTAGTGATGGCTTACAGAAATTCCCTTGGACAGCCTTGGCGAGAGACCAGAATGCACGGGTTCCCGAAGGAAGGCGAACTAGTTTCTCGCCAATTCTGCCTATGTGCTCTCCTGCTTACTGCGTAATGCAGTCTTACAGGAGCGACCAAACCAAGGCTGAGATCTGCCTCCGATGGGTACCACAGATGATGGAATAAATAGTTCCATTCCCTGTAGCACCACATCAGTGACAGAGTCAGCAACAGCGCTGGGATCATCCGGCGAGAAGCAAACCCGCCCCCATGGGTAGGATGCAAAGAAGGACCGCATTCCGTCCCAATCCGCCGACCTGTAATGCCAAACACGGCGGCAACCTGCAGAACGCAACCGCCAAGGGAGCGTGAGTGGCACCACACTCCGGATCAGACAATGGTCCGAAGAGCCGAGAGGGGCATCGACGGAAACCTGATATCCGTCCGGATGAGAAGTCAGTAGAAGGTCCAACAGGGAAGGTGTATGATCCTCCACATCTGGAATCCGCGTAGACGAAGTAACCAGTTGTGTCAGACCATATGCCAAGGCAAACTCATAAACAGATCTCCCCGCATGATCGGTTAGACGTGAACCGAGCCATTCGGCATGGTGGGCGTTAAAATCGCCAAGGATCACGATCTCTGCGGATGGGACCTGTTGTAGCAAGAAATCTGTAGCCATTTGGACGTGGTCAATGAGTCGGTCTGTTTCGGCATTACCGCTATGGGACCTATAGAGACACCCGTAGACGCGCGGATGGTCGTCGCTGTCTACGCGTAGCCAAAGGATGGACAGGTCCGAACCTTCAATACTGCCGAGGCGTCGAGAACAGATGTCCTCTCTGACATACACGCAAACTCCAGCCCGAGGCACAAAGGAATGCTCCAATTTGTACCCCGGGTAGGAGAGATACGAAATATCAGCCGGAGAGGAAACCTGCGTCTCGGTCAGAAAGAGCAAGGCCGGCTTCGCCGTCTCGAGATGGTAGTGGACGGCGTTTAGGTTAGAGTGAAGTCCCCTGATGTTGCAGAAATTCACGGATAGCGTGGCAGGGGTCGCCTTGGTGTTCTTGCTCAATTTGCCCCTAGCAGTAATGCTTTTGAGCGGAATTTTGCCCCCCCCCCCAGGATACGCGGGGCAGCCTGAGCACCCACGCTCAGGATCGGAATAACATGGTCGTGGATGCTCAGCGAGGGATTCTCCAGGGGTGCTGGTACCCTCCTGGGGTAGTTCTTCGTGTAATTCCGCTACCATGTTGATGGGGGGGGGGGGGGGGGGGGAATTGGGCCTCCGGCCACCTGCACTCACCAGACGAAACGCAGAAGCAAAGCATCTACTTCACGCCGGTATTCTGTGAGGTCGTGATACCAACCCGGCTCGAGCCGGCCCATACATGCAACAGCAAAAACTGCTGCGTGGCTCTACCACCGTTAAATGCCCGCGTACCGACGTTCATCGAGTGAAGTACGCAGCTCTTTCGCCTTCTGTTGTAGTGTTCGACGGCGTTTATCAGATTGAAGCATTGGAACCAATACACGAGTCAGTACTGAATTCCGATTCTACAAATTGTCTCACCTCGCTTCGTGCATGTGAAAGTATGTTTGTGTATCTGGTTGGCGTAGATGGAATTGTTAGGTACATCATTCCGGGTTACCGTACTCAATTTTTCTAGGAGCTAAATGGTTTTTGGCATATTTTGCGGCGGGGTTTTAATGTGGGTTGTTGTTTAACCACAACAAAATGTGTGCATGGGGGCTTCCTCGATGCTGGAGCTCAATACGAATGAAGCAATCTCTAACAAAATACTCTCCGAATGGATTATAGGACTGTTTGGATTCCAGCATTTTCATCAAGGAACCGACGAACTTGTAGAAGTAAATGCAGCACGTCACAGGATCGTCGCTAACTATAGTACAGCGCTCGGAAGTGTTGAGTTCTCCTGCTGATTTTCCAGGATATTTATTGCTCAGTCTGAGAAGTATAGTAAGCAATTTCATCCATCGTATTTTGTTTGCACTTATAGTGAGAAAGATGGTTGGTTTACCAAGTTGACGAATCATGGCAAAGAGATCTCGTTTGCGAGAAGCCCAGTATTGGACGGAGTTTGGCACTGTCTTCATGAATGCGAGGTTTTCTAAGACATATTCTTTCAGAAATTCTGGGTCTTCTAACATACGTCGTGTAACATTTTCTGTGACTGAAACGTTGCAAAACGTGCTATAAATTCCATCCACCATACGTAGCCGCAAAATTTTCATTGCTATAGATTTTTTGAGGCGTTGCTCCGCGTCTATCGCTTCGTCGTATTTCACTAGTTGCCATCGTGTAAGGTGTCACTGAAACTCCAATGTGGAATCGACGTGGATTTCCATAGTATATCGATGGGAATAACAACTCTTCTGCATGACGGTCGTAAATGATGTTGAGGGGAGTTGCCCGGTATCCTGGTGCGATATTGAGACAATCTTCTTCGTTCCACATCACGGTATGTTCTCTTGAAGCGAGAATCTCAGATTCAGGGTTCTGTTCTGCGGAGATATTTTCTGTACGGTTTGACGGGTCATCCTCTACGTCATCGAGGTCTGGCAAAGCAAGATTCAGTCTCGACAAGTCCACTTTGATTTCGTACAAACGATATAATGGAGAGTTTTGCAGAACAGTTAACCACGAAGTAACTGTACTTTTGGACATGTATCCGCTAATGTAAACTGATTTGTGGGCAAGGTTTCTTTTAATGTTTACATTAATAACGTCGTCCTCATCCAATTGTCGCGGCAAACATTTTACCATTTCTTGTACGACGACTGGTACGTTTATCACTTGTCCTACGATTCCATAAGAGAAATCATGGCGCAGACGACGCACTTGCATAAATGGTAGACGAGGCGAAATCAATCGTTCACTGATGGGATATAACGGTGGTAGGCCTGGTGGTGGGTCAGGATATGAGAATCCATTAACTTTTGCTAGCGGTGGCATCGATTGTTTGTTCAGTGACTTTTTGGAAGTGTTGCAAACCAGTTTATATTCTTCTCTGCTCAGTTGTCGATTTTCTTTGATAAACCAATCCGAAATTACCTTCAGCTGTGCTGCAGTGATGGGTTTAAGATCGTTTCTAAACCAAAGTCTGTCGCAGACCGAGCAAGCGTAGCCAAAATCGTTGTCCAAAAAAGTAGATTTGAATCTCATGATTGATGATGCCCTAAATGGGCGTGTTCCAAGTAGATTGTGCTTGAACTTCAATTTGATCTGAAGAAGTACTTGGTTGTACAGTAGTTTCTGCTGGTTCTGTTGCTAAAGTTTGACGTTGTTGGTCGGTAAATTGTCGTTGAGTATCAATATGGACGGTGTTTAACCTTTGCCCTGAACGAGATGAAGATGTAGTTGTCGCTTCTAGAGAACCACTGGCAATACCTAAGTTAGCAGCTTGACATAATCTGTTGTTTCGATCTCTTACATTACGTGCTTCTCTTGCAGCTGCTGCCTGTGCAAGAGTTCTGGATGCAGCAATCCGCTGTCTGTACTCACGTTGTATTTGTGCCCTTGTTTTTGGAGCAGCAGTTATTGGTTTTGCAAATGGCGTCGCAGAGGTAGATGCAACAGCTTCTTGAACTTCCATGGGAACAGGGATTGCCGGAAAGAGTGGCTCATTTGTGAGATTGACACGCTTATCAGGTTGATCTGCAGTGGTAGTAGATTGTTGTTGCGCATATTGTCGTAGAACATTTTTCGACTCTTCCCCTGAGTGAGAAGAAAAGATGTAGTTGTCGCTTCAAGAGAACCACTGGCAATAGCCAAGTTAGCAGCTTGGCGTAATCTGTTGTTGCGTTGTCTTTCGTTTTTGATTTTCTCGCAGCAGCCGCCTGAGCAGGAATTCTAGATGCTGCGAAACGCTGTCTGTACTCACGTTGTTTTTGTGCTTTCGATTTTGAAGCAGAAATTATTGGCTGCGCGAATGGCGTTGCTAAAGTAGATGCTACAGCATCTTGAACCTCCATGGGTTTACTCATCGAAGGTAGTGGCTCATTCGTGAAATCGTCTGGTTCAGCAGGTTGTTTTTCCATGGTGCGATTGTAAGCGGTTCTGCAAAATGAATCGTCGTTCGAAACAATTTGGAAAATTTTCTCATAAAATTCATCGTTCAGAAAATCATTTTAAATTTACAAAATACTTAAATAAAATTTATTATTTAAATTTCTTTGTAAAAAAGTTATTCTTATTCTTATAATAAATTTTGAATAATTTATTATAAGAATAAACTGTGATTAAATTATTTTTCATAAATCTTAAATTTAAAATTTGGAAACATCATTAAAATTTTTGTAACTCTAGTTTTTCAAAAGCCCGCCTCAATGTCTTTGATATAGGAGAAAATTGTTCCCTTTGACGGCTGGCTGGTCCAACCTGTCATTTCAGACACGTTGTTATGATATGTTATATGTTTTAATTTTTTTGAAATCATAGCTACGCTCCATAATTATTTCGATCGAATAGTAAAGCAATTGATTTTTTACTCATCGTGAAATAGTTCTGTTATAATTAATAGAGTCAGGCGTTACTTTGCGGAAATCCATTATATAAAAGCTTTTACAAAAATTTACTTAGCAAATATCCGCGTTATAAAATAAAATGATGTGTCTTACCTAGTACGAAGAGCACCTCCCGCCCTCCCTCAATACGGGGATAGTGCACGCAAAAAACGCAACACGATAAATCCTATTATATATATATATATATATATATATATATATATATATATATATATATATATATATATATATATATATATATATTTAGTAGATTATATTAAGAATACTTATATTACATAAATAATGCAATATATCACAAATCAATATATAGAAATTTGTTCATAAATCGCGTATCACCATGTGATACTGAGTACTGCTTCCTTATATATTACTATACTCTTTGGAGTACTGACTTCTTTAGAACGAAGATATTAACAAATATATAGATATTGAAATATATAGATACAATATCGGATTTTCATATCCAATACATTGGTACGATTTGATATAGGGTAAAAGTGATATTACCCTTGCCTATTGTATAGCAGCTGTCCATGCGGACATGCCGAACGCGGAGGCAGATTGTGCCTCTTTGTCGCTCGTTCCGTGCTCTCGCTTGCACTTTAAATGGAACGCCTCAGAGCGAGGTAACGCCGCATGAGTTACGTTTTTTCGTGCGTGCAGCCAGCTTCGTCGAATTATAAGACGTTGTCACGTCAATAATTGAATAGGTACTGCTGTCAAAATGTATCCGACATGCATTTTCGTATTGATTAATATGAAAATTTCTAAGCTAAGCTTAAAAAGTTTCATTTAATTCGTAAATAGCCTTATGGAACTGTATTTGGAGTTTTCCTTCGTGACGAAATTTGATAATGAAGATGTTAAACGAGTAAAAATTCCGCCAGATATTAAGTGGATATTGTAGCCCATAGACAACTTTATTTTATCCTCGATTAAGAATCAAAATGTAGAAGCGTTATTACCTCTGAGGACTAAGATGGAATGACTCGTTTCCAGCTTCCATTCCATTAGATATGTTGTGTGGAAAAGGATTTCCATTACTCGACACTCACCATAAGAAACACAGTAACACTAACCTGCTATTTTACGCTAGTATTCTGTGAGAACGTGGTCCTTCTCCGGTCGAGCAAACAGACTCATTCGTGCTACAACCATAATATAGCTGAAGCATGGCGCTACCACATACATATAAGCGTTCTAAACCACATTTATTCCTCGGTTATCTAAGCAGTATTTGGCTTTATTTTTTATTTACACATAACATTAATAGTCCAGAAATGTTTGATAATAAAATATTTTAATACAAATTTCAACATTACATCGTAAATGGAAGTTAAAGTTAAAATAAATAAATAATTAAATAATTAAAGTTAAAATTAAAATACTCGTAAAAGTCAGGCAAAATGTAAATAGAAAGATAAACAAAAGAAATTCACCATTACCGATAACTGTAAATGCTAAGATAAGATTTTCTTCTGTATCGTGGCGGCGCGGCGTTATACACAAAATTAAATATATTAAAAACACATGGACAATCATCCAAAACCCTCAATAAGTTGCAGCCAAGCGTTTAAGCCACTTCTCTACTAAGAAGCCAATTTGCCCATACTTCCAACACTTGGGAGTGTTGGTGAGTGTAAATAAATATATTTTTATTATGTAAATTTGACCTTGTTCAGTTTAGTCGTTCAGAAGTTACACGATACAGTCACAGTAAAGATTATAAATATAGAATCACTGAATAAAAAATAAAGACTCCATATATTTTTATTGCTGCTTATGAAAACCATTTTCCAAAATTTTCTCCGGAGTCTCATAGTAAATACTGTCTAAAAGGTTTTCGGTAGTGTTTCGACTCCGGTTTCGTAGGGATTTTATACAAAACAACTGTGTTTTTGAGAGATATTTCGCGAAAGCAACAAATTTACTGCGTGACAGCATTCAAAGGCACTTTAACTGGGTCAACGCTCTGTTCACTTTTGTGAGTATCTCGTAAACCACTCAAGGTACTGTATCCGGTTTTCCAATAAGTTTTTCTCTGGTCGTATTTACTTTTGCAGAATATTTTGGTGTTCCATGACCCGAAAGGCATTAATAAAAACAGTGAAATAATATCTAGTACTGCCATATGACGGCTCCGTGGCGCAGTGGCTTAGCAATGAGTTGCTGCGCTGGGAGGCGCGGGTTCGAATCCCGCACGGAACAAGTATTTGTATGGCCTACAAATTATTGTTCCGGGTCTGGATGTTTGTCCTTGTGAAATTTGTGTTTGTAAACTGCCTCCACGATACAGGAGAAAATCCTAGTGTGGGGGTAACGTTTTTAAAAAAAAAATAAAAAAAAATAGTTAACTATAACAATTTCATCCAACTTGGAGAAACGCTCGTAATTCTTTTATCAACAATTCTAGCGATTGGTAGTTAGCGATCTGATCCATCCATCTGACCGAAAAGTCAATTACTATATGCCTCCCCCATAGATTGCCTCATAGGGGCAATGTTGGCATAGTTGCCACGCTTGGCAAACGGGTTGGCAAACGCATTTATTTATTTTCAGTTCAGGAAGATGCTGCCACCCATCTTCTATGAACATAAAATATTGTGATTGTGTAAGCGATGCCACTTTTGCCACTCAATTCATTCACAATTTTCCATCTAAACCGAAAAATTTTACCTAAACATAGTCCGAGTAACTCTTTATACTCTACCTACCTTCTCACACAGGCCTAACCCTATGTATGTATAATTTTAGTTGTTTACTTTGCTAAGTATGAAAAAGCATGCTATTTTTGTTTTGTCCATACTAAAAATATTCCTAGGTACACCCGTATGTAACAACAGCAGTATGGTTGGAGCGTCAGAAAATCCAAAGAGGTGACTAGGTAAGAGGTAAATGAGGATATCCGCAGAAGAGTCCGTAGAACCAGAGTGACCGACATAGCCCAAAGGATTAGTAAGCTGAAGTGGCAATGGACCGGCCATATAGCTCGAAGAACCGTCAACCGATGGGGAAAAATGTTCTCAAGTGCTAGCCTCGTACCGACAGGCGAAGTGTAGGGCTTCCCCCCATTGGATGGATTGACGACCTTGTAACACATGCAGGAAGTCGATGGATGCAGGTGGTTAACGACCGTGCTTTGTGGCATTCCTTGTTTGAGGCCTATGTTCAGCAGTGGACTTGTGAAGGGCTGTAATGATGATGATGACGGTAATGAAATTCTCGTTAAAGTCGGGCTTCCAACAAATGGCGTTTGGGTCATATCGTTTATACATAAAATATCCATACAAGGAGCAACTTAACAGGTACAAAATGTCTAATACTGCGATAGTCAAACCTCCTACCAAGCGTGACTGGATCCGGATCTGGGTGTTAGTTCATGTTTTATTTGTATATGTAGAACGCCTCCACGATACAGGATAAAAGCATAGTGTAAGGATTTATACAAAGAAAAACATAAATTGCAAAAGGAGTGGAGCCGCATGTTTTGCGGTCAGAAAAACATCTGTACATAAATACATTACACATACGTTCTTATTTTTCTTTTTATTAACCGACATCAAAACGGGGGAGGATCTCAATTCGAGTGTATGTTCTTTTTTTTCTGCCAACTTCAAAAACGAGACGGTACTCAATTCGACTGTATGTTTTTTAATGTGTGTTACCTCATAACTTTTTACTGGTTAAACCGATTTCGATGATCCTTTTTTTATTTGAAAGCTGATGCTTCACATGTAGTCGTATATAATTTTGATCAAGGTCTGGCCAATAGTTTTTGAGTTATTCTTAATAATTTATGTATATTGAAGTGGCTTGTACAACATTTTTAGTTTTAAATTATTGTATGTAGGTCACGCGATATCTTCGCAGATTGTGAACCTATTTTAATGACCTTTTTTATTAAATAGGCTCAAGGTTGGTCCCATTAAATTTTGAAGAATAACTTCCGAGGGTGCAAAATAGTGGAAAAAGTTACAAATTGGACTATTGTTTAAGGCATTTCATATGATATCTTCGCAGATTGAGAACCGATTTTAGTGATTATTTTTTTATTAAATAGGTTATACTTCAAGGATGGTCCCATATAAACTTGGAGAAAAATTCCACCGCTAAGGGTAACTAATAAATAAATTCTTGTTTAGCAATTTGAAGTTGGTTTTTACTTATTGTTAAATGTTATAATTACTTATCACAATATTTCGCCAAGCACCAGATTCACTGAAAGAAAATTCCATAAGGCATTAAGTACGTACCTCTTTAAGGTGTTATATGCAACAACTAAAATGAAACAAATAAATCAATCAAATTATATAGGTAAGTATATACACCCTAAACATTATCGAACAGGAATCTGAAGTAGTCGGAAAAAACAACAAATAAATCTTAAAATTCGTAAATTAGTTATTGTAGAGCCAATGTCCATACCAATTAATGTCTTTGTCAAATACGAGTACAAACAAGAAATAAAAGCATTATTAATTTTTCTTGAAAGTAAATGCAAATGAATTCCATAA